AGATCCTGGGCAGCTTCACGCAGCTCGCGACGGGGGTACACGATGGAGGGATCACGATGGGCCGGCGACTTCTGGGTGGGAGCGGTATCATTGCGACGTCGACAACGGCAGACACGATGATGTTACGCAATGTGTGTGTGGCGATGATGACGATGGCGACGGCAAGGCCAATGACGGCGCTGATGCTGATTGCGCCGATGACGGCGATGGTGTCCACGTATCGGTGAAAATGGTTACGGAAGGATTTCGACATGCGCGCACGGCCGATAGACGCGAGTGGCCCGCATTCAATTATTTGACACGGGTCGTATTCCCCAGCAAGCGCACAAATAGTGTCGCCGCATTCCACGAACATGTTGACACTGGTTGATCTTCATAAGACTCCACCAGAAACCATGTTGCAACACCATGTTTGCTCCTATCCTGTGGTGTTGGGTCCTCGCTTTGAAGAGACAGCGCCCCGCGTTCGTTCCTTACGTTCGTCCTTCCTTCCTCTCCTCCTCCTCCTCCGCCTCCGCCCGCTTCTCCCTCCGTGCTCCATCCTCATCATCATAATCATCACCACCATCACCACCACCATCATCATCATCATCATCATCATCATCATCATCACCAATATCATCCCACGCGTCCGTGCCATCCATTTCGGCACATCTCTCACACGGGTTGGCGCCCCATACAGCTCCATCGAGGGCCCCAGTGGCACAGCTCATATGCGTCCCCGCCACCAATGTCGGCACACCCGTCATGCGGTTCGTGGCTCCATAGGGAGCTCCACCACAGGCCATAGTGGCACGGTTTATATGCGTCCCCGAAACCAATTCCGGTACCACGGTTCGTGGCCCGCTAGGAAGCTCCACCGAAGGCCTCAGTGGCACAGTTTACAGTCCCCGCCACCCATTTCCGCACACCTTTCACGCGCGGTTCGTGGCCCCACAGGGAGCTCCACCGAAGACCCCAGTGGCACAGTTTACATGCGCCCCCGCCACCCATTTTGGCACACCCCTCACACGTTTCGCGGCCCCATAGGAAACTCCACCGACAACCCCAGAGGCACAGTTTACATGCGTCCCCGCCGCCCATTTTGGCACACCGCCCACACGGTTCGTGGCCCCAAAGGAACTCGACCGAAGGCTCCAGTGGCGCAGTTGACATGCGTCTCCGCCACATATTCGGCACATTTTTCACACGGTCCGTTCCCCCATAGGAAATTCCACAGACGAATGCCCCAGTGGCACAGTTTACATGCGCCCCCGCCACCCATGTCGGCACACCCCTCCCACGCTTCGTGGCCCAGGGAGCGCTCCACCACAGGCCCCAGTGGTATAGTTTGCACGCGTCCCGGCCACCCATGTCGGCACACCCCTCACGAGGTTCGTGGCCTCATGGGGAGTTCCACCGAAGGCCTCAATGGTTCAGTTTACATGCGTCTCCGCCACACAATTTCGGCACAGTTTTTATATCTTTCGTGGCCCCACAAGGAGCTCAATCGAAGGCCCCGGTGGTATAGTTTACACGCGTGCCCGCCACCCATTACGGCACACCCCTTATACGCTTCGTGGCCCCACAGGGAGTTCCACCGAACGCCCCTGCGGCTCAATTTACATGCGCCCGCGCAATTCATGTCGGCGCACCCCTCACACGGTTCGTTGCCCCATAGCGAGCTCCACGGAAGGCCCCAGTGGCCTAGTTTATTGCGCCCCCGCCACCCGTTTCGGCGCACCCTTCACACGGTTCGTGGCCCAGTAGGGAGCTCCACCGAAGGTCCAAGTGACACAGTTTACCTGCATCCCCGCCACCCATTTCGGCACACCCTTCACACGGTTCGTGTCCCCATAGGGAGCTCCCTCCACCGAAGGTCTCAGTGGCACAGTTTACATCCGTCCCCCCCACCCATTGTGGCACGCCCTTCGCACGTTTCGTGGCCCCATAGGAAGCTCCACCGAAGGCCCCAGTGGTACAGTTGGCATGCGTCCCCACCACCCATTTCGGCACACCTCTCGCGCGGTTCGTGGCCCCATAGGAAGCTCCACCGAAGGCCCCAGCGGCACAGTTGACATGCGCCCCCGCTACCCAATTCGGCACACACACACACCACATGGTTCGTGGCCCCATAAGGGGGCTCAGCCGGAGGCCTTGCGGGACGGCTCCCGCACGCGCCCATTGGGACACGTACGCAATTCCACACGCGCAGTTTCTGGAACGTGCTTTCGGCACGCACCCATCGGGACATGTGTGCACGTGCGCGCACCCTCTGGGACGTGCCTCGCACGCACCCACTGGGACACGTACGTAATTCTACACGCGCGCATTCTGGGACGTGCCTTCGGCACGCTCCCACTTGGACACGTGTGCACGTGCGCGCACCCTCGGGGACGTGCCTCGCACTTACCCGCTCGGACACGTACGTAATTCTACACGCGCACCCTCTGGGACGTGCCTTCGGCACGCACCCGTTGTTTTCTCCCCAACCATCTTGTGGTGTTGGGTCCTCGTTTTGACGAGAAAGCGCCCCGCGTCCCACCTCTCCCCCTTTCTCCATTTCCGCGTCCGCGCCACCCATGCCGGCACGCCCATTATACGGTCCGTGGCCCCATTGGGAGCTCCATCTAAGACCCCAGCGGCGACTTTATCATGCGTCCGAGCCACCCATGTTGGCACACCCCTCACAGCGGTTCGTGGCCCCATAGGGATCTCAACCTAAGTCTCCAGTGGAGACGTTCCCATGCGTCCGAGCCACCCACTTTGGCACACCGCCCACACGGCTCGCGGCCCCATACGGAGCTCCACCTACGGCCCCAGTGGCGACGTGGCCATGCGCCCGCGCCACCCATGTCGGCACACCCCTCACACGCTTCGTGGCCCCATATGGAGGGAGCTCCACCTAAGGCCTCAGTGGCGACGTTCCCATTCGTCCGCGCCGCCAATTTCGGTGCCTTCCTCACGCGGTTCGTGGCACATCGGGAGTGTCACGTAAGGGGCCAGCGGCGACGTTCCAATGCGTCCGCGCCACCCATCTTGGCGCAACCGTCGCACGGTTCGTGGCCTCATAAGGAGCTCCACCGAAGGCCCCAGTGGCGTCATTCCATGCGTCTGCGCCAGCCATTTTCGGCACGCCCCTTTCACAGTTCGTGACCCCATCGGGAATGCCACCGAAGACGATATCCATAATTGCGGTATTCACATTTGCGCATGGTTGTGTCTTTCGCCAGGCCAATGTTTAGCAGTTTTCGGGAACCTTCGTCTTGAAATCCTTACTTGGCTCAAGCCCGCGACGCCGCGCACGTGTGGACAACATCTGAGCTTTTGCAAGGGATCCGTGAACATTGATGATGTATGTTGAACGAGAGTGCGCGCGAATCGTTTTTTGTCAGAATGAATGGGGTCGATGCCGGGTCCACCTGGGATGGTATGATTTCGTGTGTGAATTTTCTCGATGGGTCAGAATCGTACGAAATTTGTATTATCCCAGAGTGGAAACGATAAACCCGGGAGGGAGGGATGTTAGATGGTAGGTGTTCTGTATTCAGCTGTCTTTATTTTGCAATCGATGCGACGCGGCGGCGCGGCGACAACATAGCCGCCTGACCGCCACCGAGGCCCAGATGACGAGGCGGCGACTGCTGGGCGGCGGCGGCGAGCACTGAGCCGCCAGACCGCGTCACAGGCCCAAGCGACGGGCGGCGACGAGGCGGCGACGGGGCGGCAACGGCGACCACGGAGCCGCCAGGCCGCCAGACAGGCCCAAACGACGGGCGGCGACGGCGCGCACAAAACCGCCGGATCGCCAGACCGGCCCTTACGACGGACGGCGAAGAGGCGGCGACAGGGCGTCGCCGGCGAGCACGAGCCGCCAGACTGCTTGACAGGCCCAGTTCTTCAGAAGAGAAGTGAGAAGCCCCAATTGCATGCACTGTTTGGGGACTGTGTCCTCTTGATGACGCTCTGACCCAGGCCTGACCGCGCAGGGATACGCAGAAGGACGACAGCGTCAGCCCGATACAACAAACGAGTGAGCCAGGCGGACTTGCATCAAGGGACGGAAAACCCACCCGGACCTGACATTTGGCGTTTATCAAACGGCCTTGGGCGTTCACTAAACAGCCGTGCCCTGTTGGTGCGTTCAAGCAACGGCTTCGCTTGTCGGGGTGATTTTTCTGGGGTTGGATGTTCTGCCCTCTACTGCAGGACAAGACGGTGCTACACGAAGCGCAGGGCCTTCGGCATCCCCGCGCGTGCGGGGGCGGTCCCGGCGGATGCGGGCAGCAGGCCGTTCGAAAACTCCACGTTGCGGCCAGGGCCTGGGCGCCTGCAACGGTGGTCAGCTGCCTCTTGGATCGGAGGTGGCCGAGTTCCCGCACGAGGACGAGGTCGAGAGCATTAGAACCCACCGACACGACCTGTCCATGATGCTGGGGGCAAAGATATTGGAAGCAGCACGTGCTGCCCCACCTCGAGACTTCCCTCGTTGGCATGACCTAGCACCCAGCAGATAGCCTTGGCAACGCGGATGGGCGCTGGGACGTCCTGGGGTTCCTTCCTCGCGGGCTCCACCTCAGGAGGAGGTGGTGGAGGTGCAGACGGGGGAGAACTGTGGATCATTTGACGCGTGCCGTCCTTTCTGGACCTCCGGGAGGGCCCGCGTCGTGACGGCTGGAGTCGCCTCGAGGGTCTGGCCAGAGCACTTCCTAGGAGAGGTCGGGGGAGGGCGGAGGGGAGGCAGCAACCTGGAACAGTTGCACGGTGCGCAGCTTGACGGGATCCCGCCGCGCTCCGAGAGGTGGCAACAGCGACGCAAAGGCGGGGCGGCGACGGGCGAAGGGCAGGCGGATGAGGAGGAAGAGGAAGAGGAGGAGGAGGAGGAGGAGGAGGAGGAGGAGGAGTCATGCGGAGGATGATGATGATGATGAGGAGGAGGAGGGACAGCGCTGGGGCAGAGCCATTTCGGCGCCAGGGCGCTGCCCGATTTTTCCAGGGCTTCGCTTCACAGGGCGGCCTGCATGGAGGCGCGCCGCTCAGCGGCGCCCCGCGGCCGCGGCCGGCTCCCGCCGGCACGCGCGGGGGGAGCTCGGCGCAGGGGAGGGGGCGTGCCGGGCCGGACGAAAGGGGGGGGATTGGGAAAGGGGGGGTTGCGAACTTTGCTGCATGCAGCTGGTTTCGGCCCCACCGAGGAGCACATTCCTCGATACATAGCCGCCTCCGGCGCCGGGAGGCGCCGGGAAAATCAGCTACGCGAGCTGATTCTCAAACCCCCCCTTTGCTGTCCCCCCCTTTCGCCCGACCTGAGAGTGGCAGGACGAGGGCAGAGGCGTGCCCACAGACAGCGAGGGCCGCACGGCCGGCGAGGCCGAAGCCCTGAAGGGCGACGACGACGACGACGACGACGACGACGATGACGACGACGACGGCGGCGGCGGCGGCGGCGGCGGCGGCGGGGGCGGCGGCGGCGGCGGCGACGGCGACGGCGACGGCGACGGCGACGGCGACGTGGTCCATGCATTTTGCGCGCCGTGGGGGAGGGGAGGCCTGTCACTCCCCTCCGTCCGCAGCCCCTCCCTCCGTCAATGCCACGGCTTCCCCTGCCCTTCGACCCCCCCGTCCCTTCGAGGCCCGGCTCCTCTTCGCTCCTCGTCGTTCCCCTTCCATTCCAGCCCCATCTGCTTGCACACCCCATCCACCTTCTTCATCTCATGCTCTCCTCGCTCGCCCTCTTCGCTGCCCTACAGGTTCACTTCTCCACTCCCACATCTCCAAATCATCAATGTCATCACCATCCCTATCATCACGCTACTCCTTTCCCTCTTGCACTCATCCCTTCTTCAGTGTTGCCCCCCCCCTCATCAAGCACTGGCCCCGATTTCTCGACCGCTGATCCTCCCTCCCCGGCCTCGAGGACCGACCCTGCCCTCCCCCACTGCCCCTCAGACATCCGCTGTCGTGTCTTCGTTCCGCACTGGGTCTCGGGAAGCCCTGGCCTTCCCCAGGGATGGTCTTCCGTGGGCGCGGAGCAGTGGGGGGCGATGAGCGGGAGGGGGAGAGAGGTGCCCTTCTCGTCGAGCCGTCAAGGCCTTCCCTTGGGCCCGGAGGGCCCCTTTGTGCAGCCCTCGCTGCCCCCCCCCCACCCCGTTCATCGCCCCCCACATTACCCATCGGTCGTTGAGAGTAGGTCTTTTAGGAACCCCGGATTCCAGTCTATTCAAGCGCCTTCCTACTTCAATGATCGAGTGGCTTCACCTTTTTCCGTCCTCTTTAAGGGGGCGGGCGGACACCCAATCTTCTTTCAGCGCCTTCCTACTTCATGTTCCTACCTACTTTTTCCGACCAACAGGCACGCGTCCTCCGATGCTCGTGCCCGCTCATTGTGTTGACAGTTTGGGGGCCTTGCGAGGGCCCCCGAGGCCTGAGGACGGCCAGACACCACGCCCTTTCGTGATTTTTGTTTCCCCTGGCGCGAGGAGAGCAGCCCTGGGCTCTCTCAGGCATGCCCGCGGGCCGCCCCCGCCGGCCGCGGGACGCCCCGGCTGGTCATGGCGGACGTCTTCCGCCTCCGAGTGCTCGCCTACCTCTCCCCCCAGCGGCCGCCCCGCCCGTCCTTTTCCCTCCTGCGTGCCGGCCAATTCGCTCTGTGTAGTGCCCCTGCTTCGCGGCCACGCTGGTGCGGATTGTCCTGCTTCGCTGCCGGCGACAAAAGAAGAGCTTGGGCTCTCTGTCGCCCCTCGTCGTTGCCGTGTGCTTCCCCTGGCCAGGAGAGGGCAGGCCCCCGGAAACAGGGCAGGCCCACCCCGCCTCCTCCACCTCCTCCTCCTCCTCCTTCTCCTCTTCCTCCTCCGTCTCCTCGTCCTCCTCCTCCTCCTCCTCTTCCTCCTCCTCCTCCTCCTCCTCTTTCTCCTCCTCCTCCTCCTCCTCCTCTTCCGCCTCTTCCATTCCTTCTCCTTCTAAATGATTTGTTCCTGGCGCAGCCCGAGGCCAGTTTTTAGGGCGGGCCAGGCATTTCGCTTGAGACCTTCCCACCGTCAGAGACTTAGAAGCTTAACATTGACAACAGCTTCGCTGATGGAGGGTGGGTGGTTCTCAAAATGTGGCTGTCACATCAGCGCCGCGCACATTGGAAACAAATGCGAGAGCTTCACGGATTGAGGGCCACCCGTTTTTGAAATGTGGCATGCGCTCTGGCGCCGCGCACACTCGCTTTCAAAATTTGCAAGAGCTTCGCGGATTGAGGGCCACCCGTTTTCAAAATGTGTCTCTCGCATTGGCGATGCGCGCATTTGTTTTTAAACTTTGCAAGGGTTCCAGGGATTGAGGGCCACACGTGTTCAAAATGTGGCTCTCGCCTGAGCGCCGCGCGCATTCGATTTAGAAGAGTACAGCGTTTCACGGTTTGGAAGCGGATCCTTTTCAAAATGTGGCTCTCATTTTAGCGCCGCGCGCAGTTGTTTTCAAATTTGCGAGAGCTTCACGGATTCCGATGGTCAATTTTCAGGAATGTTGTTCTGGACGGATTCCGGATTATGAGGGTGAACAGTTATGTTCATTCGCAGTCTTGAAGTCCCAGGAACAGCGTTTTGGCGCGATTCAGGATCGTCAAGACGCAACAGTCAGCTTGATCCGTGGCGCTGACATCCCGAGAACAATGTTTTGGCATGCTTTCGTGTCTTCAAACGGTTGTCGTCCAACGAGGCAGTTGGACATGAGCCCTGACAGGGGCCTATGAACAGTGAGCTTGGAGTAAGGGTTTATTCCAACATCGTTCTCCTCCTCTTCTTCCTCCTTCTCTTCCACCTTCCCCTCCTCCTCCTAAGCGGGGCGCGCAAATGGGGGGGCGATCAAGAAGGGGGGGTCCTCAAGGGGCCCTGAGGGCCCCACCCCCTTCATTTATCGGCCCGATGGCGGCTTGCAGCGAGTGCTGCCGAAAGGGAGCCTTTCAGGACCCCTGAAGGTGCCCTCCTCGGGCCCATAGAAGGGGGCCGCCAGGACCCGAAAAAGGTTTTTGTTCATCTCTCCCCCCCCTACTGATCCCCTTCCAATTTCATTCGCGCCCAACCCGCGTTTGCCGCAGGGCTGCATATCCGCCGATCTGTGCCTGTTTTTCGTTTCGCGGACCCCCTCAGCTATCGCCCTCCCATTGGTTCGCGCCCAGCCCGCGTTTGTCGAAGGAGGGAACGGGCCAGGCCGTATACCCCGTCGTGGACAGTCGCCGATACTGGGTCCGGCCGATACAGTCAAAAGGGGTTCGGTTGTGTTTTGGGTTTGTATGCGTTCTGCTACCTTTTTGGCGGCACTTCCTAGATTCACTTGGAAAAGCGGAGGCTTCGCTCCTTATTTATTGTTCTTTAGGTCAGGCCGAATACTGCATACCCCGTCGTGGACAGCCGCCGATATCTGTGTGGGTCTTGCGCTTTTGAATTTCCCAATTGGGAATATCTGCGGGTTCCGCGAAGCGGTTGAGGGTTGAGCGGTGTGCCGAAGCTGGCGCGAGCGCGCGTGAGTTCCCCCGCTGGGATATTCGGGGGATCCCCCGACGGTGCCACGAAACGCGCGACGGGTGTGCCGACGTGGTTGGCGGGGCGCTTGCGGGCTTCCCTTTGGGACACTTGGTGGAGCTCCACTGATGGGGCCACGAAGCGCGGGGGAGGGGGGCCGAAATGGTCGGCGCGGGCGCATGCGAATTGCGCCACTGGCACTTTCATCGGTGAAGCACCCTATGGGGGCACGACGCGTGTGAGGGGTGAGCCGGCGCGCCGACATGGGCGTCGGGGTCGCGTGCGAACTGCCCCGCGGGGAGGCTCCGAAACGTGCGAGGGGTGTGTGCCTATATGCGTGGTGGGGACGCGAGCGAATTTCCTAATTGGGGCATTCTGTGGATTCCCGCACGGGCCGCGACGCGGTTGAGTGGTGCGCCGGAGCTGATGGCGCGGACACGTGTGAATCCCCCCACCTGGCATATTCGGGAGGTCCACCTACGGCGCCACGAAACGTGTGAGGGGGGTGCCGGCGTGGGTGGCGGGGACGCATGCGGGCGGCGCCATTGGGATCTTCGGCGGAGCTCCCCACGAAACCATTCGCGACCCTCTGCGCATGTCTCTACAGTGCCGTTTTTTATACATGCTCCGCGTGCGGATCATGTAGAACAAATGCAGGGATTTAGTGTTACAAACAACGATGAGTTCATGCATACATTTATTCATACCTGGATCATATATGAAAGACAACATAGTTACAAACATCCCATGTATTAAACATTGCCCTGTAGGGGGTTACGAAGCGCGCGAGGGGTGTGCCAGTAGGGTGGCGGGGGCGCTGGCGGGCTGCTCTCTGGGACCTTCGGTGGGGCTCCACCCACGGGGCCACGAAGCGCGTGGGGGTGCGCCGAGATGGGTGGCGGGGGCGCCTGCGAATGGCGCCGTTGGGGCTTTCGGTGCAGCTCCCGATGGGGACGCGACACGCGCGAGGGGTGCACCGAAGTGGGCGTCGGGGGCGCACGCGAACTGCCCCGCCGGGACCTTCGGTGGAGCCCCCCGATGGGGCCCCGGAGTGTGCGAGGGGTGTGCCTGTATGTGTGGCCTGGGCGTGTGCGAATTTCCCAATTGGGGCATTCTGTGGACCCCCACTACGGGCCGCGACGCGGTTGAGTGGTGCGCCGAAGCTGATGGCGCGGACACATGTGAATTCCCCCGCTGGGATATTCGGAGGATCCCCCGACGGCGCCACGAAACGTGCGAGGGGTGTGCCGACATTTGTGTCGGGGGCGCATGCGAATTGCGCCACTGGTGCTTTCGGTAGAGCTCCCCATGGAGACGCGACGCGTGTGAGGGGTGTGCCGAAAGGGGCGTTGGGGACGCGTGCGAACCGCCCCACTGGGACTTTCGGTGGAGCCCACTTGTGGGGCACCGAAAGGTGAGAGGGGTTTGTTTATATGAGTGGCGGGGACGCGTGCGAAATCTCCAATCGGGATGCTCGGTGGATGTCCCTCCGGCCCGCGACACGTTTGAATGGTGCGCCGACGTTGATGGCGCCCCGCCTGGATCTTCAGGGGATTCCCCGACGGGGCCACGAAACGGGTCAAGGTCAAGGTCCCGTACGAGCACGAAGCCCGGTCCGATACCGGACGCGGAGTGAAACAATTACAACTTTCTGCTGCCGATGCATTCATGATTGGGCATGGAAAATAAGGAGGGGAGGAAGGGGGGGGGGGGAGTCAAACTGCAAATCTGTCCCACGAAACGGGTACCGTTGCATGATCCGGATACTGCAGGTTCCGGATATGGTTGCGGCGGCAGTGCGCGACGCGTGCGAGTTGCGCCATTGGGAGTCTCGGCGGAGCTCCGTCTGGGGCCACGACGGGTGTGAGCGGCGTGCCGAAATGAGTGGCGGGGATGCGTGCGATTTGCGCCACTGGGACTTCAGGTGGAGCCTCTTATGGGGCTGCGAGACGTGTGAATGGTATGCCGAAAAATCTGTGTCAGGAGCGCGTGCGGATTGCGCCATTGGGACCTTAGGTGGAGCTGCTTATGCGGGCAGCCACTAAACGTGCGAGGCGTCCGCCGACATGGGTGGCTGGGACACATGCGAACTGCGCCACTGTGACCTGCGGTGGAGCTCCCAATGGGGGGACTAAGCGTTGGAGGGGTGAGCCGATATGGGTGGCGGGGTCGCATGCGAACTTCGCCAATGGGACCTTCGATAGAGCTCCCGATGGGGACACGAAGCGTGTGAGGGTGTGCCGAAATGAGTGGCGGAGGCGCATTCAATTTGCGCCACTGGGACTTAGGTGTGATGAGAAGGAGGAGGAGGAGGAGGAGGAGGAGGAGGAGGAGTGAGGAGGAGTGAGGAGGAGGAGGAAGTGGACCGCGCGGCGCTGTGTCTTCAAGACGAGGACCCAACTCCACAGGATGATTGGGAAAATTCACGACCAAACGCCTGGATTCCGTCGATCCGAATCATGAGCAGGGCCGGCTCGATCTTCGAAGGTCTTGGGGCCCGCAATTGGGCGAAGGCGCCCGCTTCGGGAAAGTTGCGACGCCAGGATCTCAATCCCAGACATGCGATGTCTTGATGCCCTCAGAGCGGGGTCCCCTGAGGTCCCGACCCTGTCCCCACGGGCAAGCTGCTCCTCCCGTGCAGTCCTTGAACGGCCCAGGGGGTCCGGCGGGGGCCCCCGTGGGCGGGCCCGTGCTGAGGCCTGTCAGAGCGCGGGCGCTTTCGAGAAGGTGCGTGCTCGGTGCGGAGATGTGCCTCCAAGTTTCTGCACCCCCTCGGAAGCAGCGGCCCCCAGCGGGGCGTGAGGGCACAGGGCGGGACGCATCGAGCCCCAGGCGCCCAGACATCGCCGACGCAGCCAACCCGCAGAGTGAGTTGCCCTCTGCATCCTTCCCCTTCCGCCCATCCTCGGCTATGGGGGCCACATGCGAAGCCTAATTACCCCTACCCCCCACGATTTCTGAGGGGGGAGGGTGGGGTTCACTTCGCTCGGGAGCGCCCGAGCGAAGTGAACCCCACCCTCCCCCTCAGAAATCGTGGGGGTCAGGGGTCGGGTTCGCATGTGGCCCCATATCGGCCACTCTCGCTGGCCGCGCCCCTCTCGCAGAGCGTCGACGTGGCCTTCCAGGGTCCTTGCAGCCGCTCCGTGCGTCCTTGTCAGCTGGGACTGACTGGTGGGGGCCGGGTGGCTCGCCCCACCCAGGAGCGTTCAAAGTCCGCTACGGTCGGACCGAAGTCGTAGCTCGAGGTCGGTTCGGGGAGGGCATCCTGGTGTTCTTCGCGTTCGAAGATGTTGACGTATTGTGTGAGGCACTCGTTGCCCCGACGTTTGTTTCATCTTCGACAAACAGTGTTACGAGGCGGCCATTGCTCGTGCTCATTCCAGGGCTGAGGACAAGGCATCGCTTTCCAGAACGGCAATTTCCTGTGAGAGGCTACGGCCGCACCGTACAGGCCGCTTAGTCGGCCCGGACCCCCTGGGGACGATTTCGCGCGTCCGTCCGTCCGTATTGTGCATCCCGGGGAGGGTACCCTTGAGGATGTTCTGTTGGAGTTGGGCGACGGGGGGTCTCATGGGCTTGAGGGCTGCTCTTCCTGGGGAAGAGAAACAGATACGATACCGCTACTCCCAGGACCTCTGCCGGCGAGCGTTTTGACCAGAATTTCAAGGCAAATCCAGCGGTGGCAACGAGGGCTACCCAGGAGGCCGAACATCTGGAGAACGGGGGAATGGTAGCGATATGGGTACCTCTTCCGCCTCTGACTTTTGGCCCAGGTCCGGCTGCATTGGGGGCATACCGCCGATCTATCAGTGATGTCTGGCCGATTCCAGCCTGGTGGTGTTCCAACCTACTTGAGCCTTGACCACCAGAAAGAATTTCAATCACCAAGAAAAACACCGAAACTGCAGGGTTTTCACGTGTCGGGCCCTGGGAAGCGATACTCGTTCGAAATTGTTTCGATACTTCTCTGTGTGCTCGAAAATATTATTGGGATGTGGTCCTTAAGCACGATGGGAGAAACATCACTCCAGCCCCGTGTTCTGCCCCCCTGGGCTGCCCCCTCCACCCGTGGCCACTTAGATATTCCCGGTCACGTCTTGGCTGTCCGGCGGCCGCTCCAAGGACGATCCGGGCACCGCCAGAACGCTCTCGGCGAGGCGTTTCCGCTGGAGAGCATCCCGAGGCTGGGAAATCCGAGAGCTCCGACGCTCCAAGCAAATTCTAGCTGCGGGATTTCGGCAGTTTTCAGCCTCCAGGAGCCCTCGCCGGGCCTCGGGAGCGTCAAAAAACGCAGTGCGCATCAAAAAAATTGGATCGCCCGGATGTCTGGGCTTGCCGCGAACGGACGACATCGCTGGAAAATCTCGCACCTCGCACGTTGAACCTCGACCCGAAGCGTCCCCCTGCCTTCGCGGTGGGGGCGTTCGTGAAGGACTGTGCCCAGGAGGCTGCAGACCCTAGAGGACATTCCTCGTTTGATATATAGGCGAGCCAATCCACGATCGGGAGTTCCACCGGCTTCCAGATCCTGGCTTCCTTATAAGCAAGTGATTATTTCCCTGAGATCCGACGCAGCGAACAACATCGCATGATCGTAACAAGTCATGGAAGGAGTCCGAGACCCCATCCCTCTGCTCTATTTTTCGATCCAGATCGATATGCGAGGGCCCCGGGACCGAAGTAGCCCAAAGCGCCCGTTGTGAAAAATATGCAACGCCCGGATCCCAGGGTTATTGCGAAGGGATTACGGCCAGAGCCGCCGACCTTGAAGGGGAACGGAACGGCGGCGGCGGCGACGACGCTGACGTGGGTTAGAGTCCTCATGGATGCTTCTTGGGGTTTCTTCGAAGCGCTCTGTTCTTGGGAGGTTCTCTTGGGATCCTCTCGGGGGCCCCTCGCAGGGTCATTCGGCGGAGCTCGGTGTGCCGCCATGGGTGTCGGGGACGCATGCGATCTGCGCCACAGGGGCTCCCTATGGGGCCACGAAGCTCGCACCTCGAACCTCAAACTTCGACCCGAAACGTCCGACCCCAGACATCTGGCTGCTCCAATTTTGTTGATGCGTGGGCCCCGGAGGTCCCAGACCTTTTCCCCGGGGCCGGTTTTTCGTCCTGAATCGTGCCTTGACGCTCCCTTCTTTTGCGTCTGAGCGTCCTTCCTTCCTCGCGTCGGCCTCCCCCCTCCCTCCTTGCGCGCCAGCCAATTCGCTAGTTAGTGCCCCTACCTAGCTGGCTGGTGCGGATTTCGCCGCCTCGCCGCTATACGGAACAAGCTGTGCCGCTCCCGAGGCTCGGCGAGGGCCCACAGAGGCCGAACATTGCCAACATCCCGCCGCTCCAATTTTTGTTGGAGCGCCGGATCTCTGGGCTCGAAGCTCCACCAGAACCGTCCGACTGCATCGTTGCCCCTGCGCTTAAGTCGGGCCTGTCCCTCTACAGGGGGAATATAAACAAGTAGTCAAAAAATAGTCTGGGGAATATTGTTTGACAATGTTTGAGGACGTTTGATGCATTTTTAGGGAATTTTAATGTTTTCGTCGAAAATCGGCCTGTGGGGGGACAGGCCCGACTTAACCTTACGCCCCAGCCGAGGCGACCCGGCCGGGCCGCTCCAGGAGGCGCCCGGCCACGCAGCAGGCGCTCCGCCTCGGGCTGGCGCTGTTGGTCGTGGCCGCGGTGCGGCCGGCGCTGCCGCGCCATGGCGGCCGCAGCGGGGCCGGGACGTCGGAGGAGGAAAACCCTGGAGCTAATATTGAGTCAGGCATGTTCATCTACAGGAGGAATATTCAAAAGTAGTCCAAAATATTGGTCCAGCATTGGCGAAGCGTCCTGGCTCGCCTATGGCCCCACCAAACAATGTTCTAAGAAGCTCTTGTGGTTCCCACGAAATGTTCTTAGATTATTTCTGGCTGGGAGTGTCTTGTTTTAACACATCGGGTTAATGTTCTAAGAACGTTGTTTTGTTCCTAAGAACATTCGTGGGTTCTAAGAACATTTCGTGGTAGGACTATACGAATGCTGGGACGGTCGGTCCCTGCTCAATGTCCCTCTACAGGAGGAATACTGAATAGTAGTACAACAAAAAACATGTGGGCGCTTTTTCGACTGTTTCTCACCTTTTATGCCATATGCTTTGACCATTGCTGACTCTTCCCCCCGAAGACGCCTGTAGGACGACTTGCTCGACCTAAAGCTAGTAGAAACCCAGTCAGGCGGGGCCAAGACGTCGGAGCAGGAAAACACCCGAATTGATATCTAGGCCTCCTGGATGGGGTCGGAGAGATGGGGTCGGAGGATCGCGCCGCATCGCTGATGCATCGCCGATGCGGCTCGATGTGGAGCCCGACTTGCTTTTCGTCGACGTCGCCGATGCATCGCCGGTGCATTGCCGATGCATCGCCGATGCATCGCCGAGGGCATTGAATCATCCTGAGATCGATCCTGGATCCTGGCGTCTCCTTTCTTTCACAACGGCCGTTTTCGTTTACTTTCGGGCCCCAGGGCTCCGGGCATGATTTTTTACGATGCATGTTGCATTTTTCTGAATACGTCGGATCTCAGGGGAGATCCGACGCTCCAAGAAAAAGTTGGAGCCGCGGGGTTTGAGCAGTGTTGCAGTGTTCGGCCTCCATGGGGCCCTCGCCTGGCCTCGGAAGCGTGAAAACACGATGCAGGACGCAGAGCCGGACCCGGGGAAGTGGTCCGGATTCGGCGTCACCCCAACATACTCTTATATATTCGCGGGTGGACAGAGCCCCTACCCTGACACGTCGATTAGTGACTTGTCCGTTTTCGGTTCTCGAGAGGGCGCCGCGGCCGTCATTTTCCAGGCATGCGCCCACCAGGTTTGGGCCCGAGGTCGTTTTCACTAAACCACGTTTTACTAAACGGAATTCTGTCCATCCCTGATATACATGAATGTGTATCTATATATGTGTGTGTGCGTCGCTCCCCTGGGTGAGACGCGCGCACCGAGAAATCTTATAGTATATACGTCATGGCGGGCGCTTTCTGGCCCCGCGCTCGGGAAACGATATACTACAAGATGGGTATACTACATGTTCGGGTCGGACGCGCGCCTCATGTCTCTGTGCGTCCCACGGATTTCCGGGGCCCACGCATCGAAAAAATTAGAGCAGCTGGATGTCTGTGAACGGGTGCGGCAAGATGTTTCTGATTTTCTTGGAAGGAGCGCCACAAGGCCGAGGCGCATTGGGTGTGGACACGAATCGGGCTCCCATGGGCCAGACGTGTAGCCATATCCTGGGCGTCTCGGGTTTTTTGTGGAGGGAGCCCAGAGCTCCAGGCCGCAGTGGATCTGGACTAGTCTGGCCTGCAAGGGGGGTCAGCCAGAGCGCCGGATCTAGCATCATCCTGCAAAGAGCCAGGGTTGCACTGATCCGGGCTGGCTCGCAGGATCCTGCAGGCTCCCCGAGATCCCAGGCCTTATGACGATTTGTTTTGTTGTCGTCGTTGTCGTCGTAGTCGTCGTCGTCGTCGTCGTCGTCGTTGTTGTTGGTGCTACTGTTGTTGTTCGTGTTGCTGTTATGGTTGCTGTCGTTGTTGTTGTTGTTGTTGTCGTTGTTGTTGTTAGTAATTGTGTTGTTATTGGTGTTGTTGCTGTGCTTGTTGTTGCTTTTGTTGTTATTATTGGCGTTGCTGTCGTCGTCGTTGTCGTGGTTGTCGTTGTTGGTATCGGTGTCGTTCTTGTTAGTGTTGTTATGGCTGTTGTTATTATCGGTGTTATCGTTAGTGTTGTTGCTTTGCTTGTTAGTGCTGCTTTTGTTGTTGTTGTCATTGTCGATGTCGTCGTTGTCGGTGTCGGTGTCGTTGTTGTTGTGCTTATTAATGTTGTTGTTGTTCTGGTTGGCGTTGTGGTCGTTGTTGTCGTTGTCGTTGTCGGTGTCGTTTCTGTTGGTGGTGCCATTGTTTTTGATGTTGGTATTCTCGTTGTTGTCATTGTTGTGATTGGTGTTGTTCTTGCTGGTATTGTTGGCGTTGTTGTCGTTGTCGTTGTCGTCGTTGTCGTTGTCGGTGTCGTTTCTGTTGGTGTTGTAATGGTTGCTGGTATTGTCGGTATTATCGGTGTTGGTGTTGTGCCTGGTGTTGTTATTGTTGTTGTCGTTGTCGTCGTTGCCGTTGTCGCTGTCGTCGTTGTCGGTGTCGTTGTTGCTGTTGTTGTTGGTGATGTTATTCATGTTGCTGTTGTTGGTGTTGTTGCGCTTGTTTTTGTTGTTGTTGTGTTTGTTGTTGGTGTTGTTATTGTTGTTGTTGATACCCTGGAGGAACAACGTGGCTCTGGGAATGGGTCCAGACCTCTGGGGGTCGACGTGGAGGACAAATCATGACGTTGGATGCCTGAGATCTTGAGGCGTCGCAGTTTTTTTGTCGGAGTCGGGCGTTTTCGTCAGGTTTTTGGCGCTAGGACCCTCACAGATGGATCCGGCTCCCGTTTGTGATTGTTCGCGATGTTTCTGTTCTCGCCATGTTGGATCTCAGGGCCCAATGTATTGAAATAGTCCCGAAAGGATTTTTGTTTTTTCGCCAGGCCCCAGGATCGTCAAGAAAGATTCAGAATGAGAACTTCGTCCCAGACATCCTTCAGACCCGATCTCAAAGATCCCCGATTTATCCTCACCCAATTTTATCCTCGTTCTGTGCTCGTCTCAGTTTGAGTGGCCCAGGAGGAGGAGGTGCCGACTCAGTCTTTCAACTTGGCGGGGGGGCCAGAGGAGGCCGGCCTGCTCAGAAGGGCGGTGGGTCTTTTGGGAAGCCCTCGCGCCTTCTCAGAAGTGGTCTTAGCCTAAAGTTCAGTCGGGCATGTTCCTCTACAGGAGAATATTCAAACATAGTCAAACAATAGTCTGGGGACGATGTTGCTATTATGTTTCAAGAGTTTTCTTAGTATGTGTTGCCCATTTGTTGTTTGTCCTTCAAAATCCGCCTATAAGGGGACAGGCCCGACCTAAGCCTGCAGTCAGACCGAAGTATAAGATCGAGGTCGGTTCGGGGAGGGTACCCTAGTGTTCTTCGTGCTTGTTGGATAGTTTTGTGCATCCTGGGGGAGGGCACCCTCGGATGTTCTGTGTGGCTTGGGCAGCGGAGGGTTCCATATTCCTGAACGATGTGCTTCTGGCCGAGGTCCGACTGTAAACCTTCTCCAGAAACATAGGCGACTCCGAAGAAGGTGCGACGGCTCTGAGAAGCCCCGCCTCCGTCGGAGAAGGCCTGCCCCCGCTCACTTCCCCCCCAGGTCTCGCCGCCGACCAGCGCAGTGAGACAAGCACGACGGAAAGTGTTTTTTTTGTTCTTCAGTGTTCGGCCTCGGGGCCCTCGCTGCGGGATTCGTGAAACATGACTCGGAGTGGGAGAGGTGGTCCCAGGAAGTGAGCCCCAGGCGGGGATGAGTACCGACCCAGACTTCCAGTGCACTGAGAAAGTCACGACGCAAGTTTGTTCTGCTGCTAGTTTTGGCCTTCTGGGGCCCTCGCCGAGCCCCAGGACCGTCAACAACTACTCAGAGTGAGAAGCTGGTCCCAGGGAAGGGGCGGTCCCACTGGCGCAGCCCTCCGACGCACGGAAAAAGGGCACGACGGGAGGCCCTGCCAACTTTCCCGCCTTCGGGGGCCTTTGCCTGGGCCGACGTTGCGAAGATAGGGCGTCGCCGGGGGTTTGGGAAAGGGTACGGATACCGTCGCCCCGGCCTCGGTTTCTCTTTCGTTGCGGCTCTCGGGAGGCCGTCTGCGCCGCGACCCCAGAAGTCTTGCGATGTGACTGCTCCGTCCGGGCGGTGCTCCTCGACGTGGGCCCCTGGGGCCTGACATCGGGCCCGGGGCCATCCAACGTGTTGGTCCTGGGCGAACAACTGGCCCCAGGGAAGGTGTCGGGGCCTCTGGGGCCGCGCATTCGATGGGCCCGTTTTCCACCACCACCACCACCACAAGTTGGAGGGGGGAAGGAGGTGGAGGAGGAGGAGGACAGAGGAGGAGGAGGAGGAGGAGGAGGAGGAGGAGGAGGAGAAGGAGGACAGAGGAGGAGGAGGAGGAGGAGAGGAGGAGGAGGAGGAGGAGAGGAGGAGGGGAGGGGAGGAGGAGGAGGAGGAGGAGGGAGGAGGAGGAGGGAGGAGGGAGGAGGGAGGAGGGAGGAGGGAGGAGGGAGGGGAGGAGGAGAGGAGGGAGGAGGAGGAGGGGGGGGAGGAGGAGGAGGAGGACAGGACCCCCTCCCCCATCCCACTTCTGGTGGCGGCGGTGGAAGACGGGCCCACCAGCATGGAAGGGCACCGCTGCCGGGGCCGCGTCTGCGCCATCTCCGCGTGCGGGCTTGCTCGGGAGAGGCCCGCGGCGCCACGGCGGAATGCGCCCCCGGCCAGCAGTCGCCCCCCGGCAGAGGCGCGGGGAGTGCGGTGCAGGGGAGGCCCCTGCCGAGTAGCACCCTCCTCCTCCTCCTCCTCCTTCCTCCTCCTTCCTCCTCCTCCTCCTTCCTCCTCCTCCTGCCGAGTAGCACCCTCCTCTTCCCTTCTCCTCCTCCCTCCTCCTCCTGCCGAGTAGCACCCTCCCCTCCCTCCTCCTTCTCCTCCTCCCTCCTCCTCCTCCTCCTCCTCCTCCGCCTCAAGTCCACACCCTCGAGGTGGGGCTGGATGCCGCGAGACAGGGGTGAAGGCAAGACAGCTCCACCAATGGCTTTCTCGGTGGGGATGGGGACAAGCACCTGTTTCGGCGTCGCCCAGCGTACAGTGAAGGCCCATGCCAAGAAACACCCTGCTTGTCTCCAGGGTGCCCTGGTTTTCTTGGGTTTCGATGGTTTTTGCAGGGACGAGCGTGACGTTCCCACACAAACACACACACACACACACAACAAGTCCATGGACGTCCTGGGGTCTCAGGGTTGGGTTTCCTGTGGCAGGTTTCTGGTGGTCGAGCCCCCACTGTAGGTTCATGTCATTCCGACGCGGCGGCGACCCCGCCGTGGACGTTCCAGGCTGAGCGCCATCAGCGGCTCAAAATCGGCCAAGCTGGAACGATCTGGCGATCGAGAAGCAGCTGGTCCTTCAAGGCTGAACGATCCACGCAGTGCCACAAACCAAGGCCCGGGATACGATCCCGCCGTAGCGATTAGAAAGCAACTCACGGAAGTTTGTTGTCGTCAACGCCATGGCGCCCGACAGCGCGTCAAATCGCGAGCAAAGCGAACATGACGCATCTATCTCACATGGCGTCATTGGTCGTTATCGGGTGCTATTTGAGCGCCATTTGAGCGCTATTGGGTGCTATTGGGCGCGATTTGTCGCTATTGGGCGCGAGTTGCGAATATGCATTCAGACTAAAACGAGCGGGACTTCCATTGATTTACGTAGCACCTTGCACCCCGTAATTGCGGATAAGAGTGCGGGGGCGGGCGCGGGGTGTGTCGCGGGTGGGTCGTGGGTGGGTCGCGGGTGGGTCACGGGGTGGATCGCGGGTGGGGATGGGGGGGTGTCGCAGGGGGGGGGGGTCGCCAGAGGATTGCGGACGACGACGACGACGATGATAACAACAACAGCAGCAGCAACAACAACAGCAACACCAATAGCAACAACACTATTAATGTTGTCCATGTTCTTCGCTGTACCTGCTCGCGTGACGTTCAAAACGTATATCCCAAATCCTGGATACCCGCCTTCGTCGTCTTGGATCGTATCCCCCTTACGGGCATATCTTCTTTAGTTGCCGCGTGCAAAACAGGGGAAGAGGACAGATGGAAGGGGGAAGAAGAAGGCTGGAGCACGGGACCAGCAGCACACGGGAACAGGGTACTCAGGAACAGAAGACACGTGCCAGACCCCCGTTGTTTGATCGAGCGCGTCGGCCTTGACGGGCCGGTCGGGAAGGCGGGCACACGCGGCCAGGTCGAGCAGGCGGGTTGTTGAGGCGCGAGTCTTGGCATAATCGCGGGGACGTTCTGAGCGACGGCGCGATTGCCAAGTGAGCCGCGCGAGCAACGCAGAGCGAAAGCGCGAGCCTTGAGCGTCAAGGGCGCGGCGTCTGAATACATTGGGCGTCGGTCCAACGCGAGAGCGCGAAGCTTGCACAAAGTGTGATGAACTGCCGCGCGGGAGCCCGAGTTTGGAACAAGTTGTGAGGAAGCATCAGGGGGGAGCAGTCGCCGTTGTTGTTCAGGGGCCAGCAACGTAGTTTGGTGACCCCACGCCTCCCCTTGTAAGTACATGGTGCGAGCCCCGAGAGGACCACTATACTTCAAAAAACGCACGGGCCACTGGCAGGGAGATCAACAGCACATATGTTTTGGAAAGAAGAAATCAGCACTAATAAAATGTTCAGGTATGTTCCACGTTATCTGCTAGCGTACCAGTCAACACGTGCATCGCAAACCCTCTATACCCGCCCTCATCGTCATCGGTTGTACCGCCATCAGGAGTATATCTTTCTTATGTGTAACGTATACTTCGTGCGGCCCCAAGGATCGGGAAACAAAGGACGGATGGAACGAACGGACAAGTGGGAGGAGTCAGGACGGAACACGACAGACAATAGTAGGAGAGGGGAAGTAGGAGCAGAAAGCACGTGGCAAACTAGACGGGCTGCTCGGGCGGATCAACCAAAACGGGCGGGTCGGGAAGGCGGGCCCAGGCGGCCAGGTCGAGCAAGCGGGTTCGGAAGCGGGACTCCCGCATGAAACGCGCGGATTTTTCAAGCGATAGCGCGATTCCAAAGTACATCGTGAAGAAGCCCACAGCGAGAGCATGATTCCTGAGAGTCGAGGGCGCGGCGTCTGAATAGATTGGGAGGCGGTCCCACGCGATAGCGCCATCCTGCACATATTTTTTTTATATATATATATATATATATATTGAGGACGTCCCGCGCGAGAGCGCGATTTTTTATAACTTGTGGGGAAATAGCAGGCGGGAGCCGTTGTCGTTGCAAGTCGGGGGTGAAGGGCCCAGTCTGGTGACAAGTAATTGTCCCATGTTAGAAGCAAGGTGCGGGCCCCGGGAGGGGTATTCTGATCGAGAGAATACAATGGTCACCGGACGTGGACCAAACGCAATTATTGTAGAGACATGGGACTTTCACCAACAACAGCAGCAACAGCAGCAGCACCACCATCACCAGCATCGTCGTCGACAACAAGCATACAAGCATTCATGTTGAGATTGTTCCCTCGTATCTGCTCGCGTACCACTCGACACGTAGATCCCACGCCTTCGATACCCGCCTTCCTCGTTTTCGGTCGTTCGCCTATCGGGGGTACATCTTTCTCGTATGTAACGTGTACTTCGTGCAGCCCCTAGGACAGGGGGCGAGAGGAAAGATGGAAGGAAGGGGCAATAGGTGGAGGGGGCAGGATGGAACACGAGGGAGAATAGAAGGGAAGGGGGCTAGGAGCGGAAACCACGTGGCAGAAGCAGACTGGGTGATCGTTCGGGTAAACCCTAACAGGCGGGTCGGGAAGGCGGGTCCAGGCCGCCAGATCGAGCAGGCGGGTTGCTGAAGTGTGAGTTCTGCATGAATCGCGAGGAAGTTTCGAGCGATAGCGCGATTCCCAGAGACATCGTAAGAAGAACCACAGCGAGCGTGTGATTCCTGAGCGTCGAGGGCGCGGCTTCTGAATGCATCGCGAGGAAGTCCGACACGAGAGCGCGATTCTTATATAAATTGTGATGACGTCCCGCGCAAGAGTGCGATTTGGAATACATTGTGAGGATGTACCAGGGGGGGCCGTTGTTGTAACTCGGGGGCCTGGGGCCCAGCTTGGTGACACCTCATTATCCCTTGTAAAAATCAGGGTGCGATCCCGGGGTGGCGCACTTCCATTGTTACCAGAGGGGTGATCGACAAAATTTGTTTTAGAAAAGGGAATTTTAGCAACAAGAACGAGGACAGCAGCAGCAGCAGCAACAACAACAAACATCCGCATCGCGGAGGCCCACTTCAACCACGCGCCCAGGGACAGTGCATGACCGTGCTGCCCCCTCACTCGGATTGTCTACCATTGCGGTGTCGGTAAATTTCGCTTGGCTTCCCCAGGATGTGCGCCCTGCTGCCCGGCATGGCGGCCGCGGGGCCGCAGACGGCCGGCAGCTACACCTACGAGCCGACGACGGACCAGTCCGCGGCCTGTCCTCCTTGGGGCCCTCCCTGGGACCGTCAGAATCACCGAGCGCATTCCACTATTCGCAAAGTGCCTACTCGCAAAAGTCCGAAAACACACATGCCTGCTTCGATGTAAGTTACCGTGGATCCCCCATGGCGGATCCATGCCATTTGCGAGTAGTTACTTTGCGAGTAGTGGAGCGCGCTCGTCTACAGAAGACGCTCCCGAGCTCCAAGTGGTCACGGGCAAAGCTCCGGTTTCAAGGGCCCGTTTCTTTAGGCCTCCCAGATGGGGTCCGGGTGGAGAGTAGACGGGGTCAGGGGATCGCGCCTCATCGCCGATGTATGGGCGATGCGGCTCGATGTGGATCCCGATTTTCTCCCCGCTGACGTTGGCGATTCCTCGCCGACGTCGCCAGTGCGTCGCCGATGCATCAGCGATGCAGCGCGATCCTCCGACCCCACCTACTCAGATCCCATCTGGGAGGCTTCTAGTTTCACCCAGGGCCATGGTCCTTCATGGCAAACTCAAGGGGAGAAGGTGGAGGAGCACGACAAAGGGAGGACGGGGACTGGGGATATGTTTTGGACTCCGCTGCAACCAAATTTGCGACCGGAAACACAAAAGTTGTAGATATAGTGGGGGGCCGTGCCAAGAATCATTTTGCTTGCCTCCTGGGTGCCCTGGGCTTCTTGGTTTTCGATGGTTTTGCGACGGAAGCCTCGACGTTCCCGCACCAAAAATCGATGGACGTCCTGGGGTCTCAGGGTTGGGTTTCTTGTGGAAGGTCTCTCTTATGGTCGGGCCCTCACTGTAGCAAGTCGTGGGAGCCTTGTATACCCTCGATTCGCGTCGATCAGCGCCTGGGAGTCGATGAGATAGCGCCGAGCTCGCGTCGATGAGCGTCAATGTAGCGTCGATCTCGCCTCGAGTTATAGCGTCGATTATAGCGTCGATGAGGTCGAGCCCTACTGTTTTGCGTTGGGGAGGGGCTCCGTGTTGCCCCTCCGACTCCCGTAGACGCGCCAACATTGTCAGCTAACGGCGAAGTAGGAAAACCAACTGTAGGAAGGCGTCGTCCGTGCCCAAACCACTCGTAGGAGCGCGTAGTTCGCGTTTTCCTACAGCTCGCTGTGTGTCGTTTTCTCTCGGTATATTTGATTTTTGAAATGTAGGGGCCTTTCGTGGTTTCTACATGTTGTTCTTCGTGAGCTCGTTGTCACAAAAACCATATTCCCAACCGCACCGTTAATCATTCACGCCGTTAGCGCGACCTTGTCTTATTATGCCCCTCCTCATTCTCGAGTCCCCCGTGTGCCAGTTCACGTCGTCCCTCCTCGTCCGCCTCCGCCGGATGCGTTCCCACATCATCCACATCCACATCTCTGCCCTCCTCCCATCCTCTGCGCCCTGGTGCAAATCACCCCCCTGAATTGTGTCGCAGGTTGGAGGTTCTTAGGGGACGAACGATCACATAAACATTATAACTCGGAGATGCGCGCGGATTTCTCGGATCGGCACTGGGGCCCCCTGGCGGCGCCTCTGGCGCCGCCCCCCTGGCGCGCTCAGCGCGCCAGGGAGCGGAGTCCAGCGCGGATCCAAGAAATCCGTGCGGACCTCCGAGTTTGCATGCGTCTGCGAGTGCCCGTTCCCCTTATGAGAATTGTTTCGCAGTCTGCCTCGGGTGTTCCCCAGGCTTCCCGTGGGAGGTCGAGGTTGAACTTCTGGAGAAAACAGGGGCCTCGTTCCTCATTCAGGGCTCCTTCCCCTCCCCCTGCTCCTCCCCCTCCTTCTCCTCCTCCCCCTCCTCCTCCTCCTCCTCCTCCTCCTCCTCCTCCTGTTGCACAGTCGGGGTCAGCGCCCCGACTGTGCAGCACGTCCTTCCCGTGCCCGCGCTCTGCCGAGCCGTCGACGCGGCCCCCGCGAGCCCCGGCAGGGGCTCGGCCCCCGCGGGCACTGGGCAGCAGGCCACCGCTCGACGAGCTGCGTGCGCCTCCGTGTGGGGGTTTTTGGCTCCCGTGCGGCGTCCGGCCTCCCATGGCTGCGGCCTCCTCGCGGGCGGCTGCAGGGCTCGCGTCGATGCCCCCGAGTCGGTTCGAGTCGATTTCGGTGGCTCCGAGTTTTCTCTCATCTCGAGGCCTACCAGCATGCCGAGATATTCCGCCGACTCGACTTTTTCCCGACTCGGCTGCCGATCTCCGCCGATCCGGTATGTTTCGATCGCCGATCCGTCTTCGATTCGATTCTGGGCTCGATCTCTTCGCCGACCTCGATTCGATTCTGGGCTCTCCCCTGCGGCCGGGCAGGGCGCCGGCCTGCTCGGGCGCACACCTGTTGGCCCTCGCGCGGAGTGGCTAGTCCTCGGCCCGAGAGCCCGCGTGCGCCTCGACGTGGCGTGGTGCCTCCAGGCGGACGGGGCCGGGACGAGGACAGGTCCGCTCCAGGGACGAGGACGGGTCCGCTCCAGAGCGTGGCGGAACGCCTTCGGAGCCCTTCGGGAGGCTCTGAGAGGGCCGCGGCGCCCGAAGCATCCTCCAGAGCCGCGGGATCTCTCAGAGATCCTCTCAGAGAGGAGGAGGAGGAGGAGGAGGAGGAGGAGGAGGAGGAGGAGGAGGGGGAGGAGGGGGAGGAGTAGGAGGACAGAGGAGGACGAGGAGGAGGAGGAGGGGGAGGAGGAGGGGGAGGAGGAGGAGGAGATGCTGGATCTTCCCTCACCAGAGTTTCTCCTCGTCCTGGCTTCGTCTTGTCACTCGTGCGTGCAGCCGACTGCAAAATATGCCTGCGATCCGCGGCCCGCGCGGTCCCCAGGCGCGCAGTTGTCCACGAGGGCCCGTGCAGGCCGCCGAGGTCGGGCGGGAGCCGCGGGAGGCTCGATGATTCTCAGGACGTGTGTTAGCCCAATGTGCGTTTACCCCTTGTTCACCCCAAGCAGTAGATCATTACATCGCCTGGGTCGTGGCGAAGGGCCTCGATGGACAGACACGCGTTGGGGCCAACACACATTCTGAGGGTCAGCGAGAGGAGCGCCGTGGAGCGCCGTGGCCGTGGCCGCGGGTCGGAGCTGCGTTCCAGCGGCGTGAGCGCAGCCCCGCCCCGCTGCAGAGTTCTTCGCCGCCCACCAAGCCACCCCGACCCAACCCGAAGGCCCCGATGTGCCCTCCATTTCCAGTGGGGGGGGGGTCGGGGAAGAGTGCAAAAGCACATCTGAAGCCCGTGCCTCCCCTCCTCCACGTGAAATTCGGGCGCAATTCGGGTACTCGGGTTTGGTTGGGGTGGTCTGGCAGGTAGCAACTTAGTTCTTTCAGAGGAGGAGAAGGTACCCATACCACTACGGTTCTCTCGGTCTTCATTTTTGGGCCTCCTGGGCGAGGCCCTCGTCTCGTCGCCACCGCTGGATGCGCCTCGAAATTCTGGTCGGAACGTGTCCCGGGAGAGGTCCAGGGAGCGGCGGTATGGACATTTGCTTGTGGGTCCCCCCATTTGCACGAGGAGGAGGAGTTCCCGCAGGAGAACACACGGGCATAGCTAACGACTTTCGGAGGTGCGCCCTCATGCATGCTGGATGCTGCTGGCGCTCGGCCCTGGGCCTCGCGTGGCCCCATACAGTCTGGCAGGGGTCTGCGGGGAGAAGTCCTGGGAGGCGAGAGGATGAGATAGAGAAAACAAGCAACAAAAGGCAAGAGACAGAGAGGGATAGGACGAGTAAGGGGAGGAGGGGAACGGAAGAAGGAGGAGGTGGTGGAGGAGGAGGAGGAGGAGGAGGCGGAGGAGTTGGACCAGTGTGAGCCCAAGACGCAGCGACGATGTTGCAAGACACCCTCCCTCGCAGTTCCCTGCTCACAGGTCCCTACAAGAAAACATGTTCATTGCGGGAACTGCGCCATTCAAAGACATTTGTTGGAGAACCCTCCACTCGCCAAGACCATCCCTGGGACTCCAACGCCGCGCATCAACGTGATCGTTGCGCCCTGACCATCCTAGATTGTGCCAGAACGCGTTGTCTGGGAGATCAGCAACGCGAAACAGCGTGATTGGTGTGTCCAGTTGATCCTAGATCGTGCTGCCAGAAGACAATTCCTGGTCCTCCGATACTACGAGTCCTGGAACCGCTGCAAAAACTCTGCAGGACGCATGTGCGCGGCGCCAAAACGCGAGAGCGACGTTTTGAGCACGGCCTGCCCTCCACCCTTGAGTCTGTCGCACAACTGCTTTGAAGGCAGATGCGTGTGTTGTGCTAAGGCTAAGGGTGGACAGAACCCCCAACAGTGACACGTCGATTAGTGAATCGTCCGTTTTCGGTTCTCGAGAGGGCGCCGTTGCCGTTATTTTCCAGGCTTGCGCCCGCCAGGTTTGGGCTTCAGGTCGTTTTCACTAAACCACGTTTTACTAAAGGGAGGTCTGTCCATCCCCGAATTATCCGCCCTCCATCCTTGAAGCTGCCGCAACATGTAAGACGAGCCCCTCAGTTGTTCTTCAAAACGCTGGGGGGCGCTGGTTTTTCCTTCTTCAGATGTTCGTGTTGTGGCCGACAAAACATAACATAGACTGCAACCCAGAACAGGACAAGCACGCCACCGGCCAGGCCCCAAAACGAGCGCAACATGGCAACCAAAACAGAAGAAACACCGCAGCCCAAACCAGAAAACAATTTGCAGACACGGGAAACATAGCAAGCGGTGCAGTCGAAACCACTTAACAAACGGATTGCAACACGAACCGAACACGGCGAGACGGCAATCGCAAAACGGGTAACAACAACGGGCCACACAGAAGCAGCAAACGTAGATCTTGCAATTTTGATACAAAAAAACGCCCCGTGCTTAAGAACATCTGCGCGAAGGTGAGAACGACGCTTTGAGCACAACCCGCTCTCCATTCTTGAAACTCGTGCAAGTCTCAAGCCTCGGGATCATAAGTTTCGGGGGCCGCATGCGAACCCTACCCCTACCTCCCACGATTTCTGAGGGGGAGGGCGGGGTTCACTTCGCTCGGAAGTGAACCCCGCCCTTCCCCTCAGAAATCGTGGGGGGTAGGGGTAGGGTTCGCATGTGGCCCCCTATAAGTGGTGAACTGGTGACGAAGACTCCGGCGAAACGCCGGGCCGGCCCCGCCCACGCGCCTGGGGGTGCGGCGGGGATGATACAGATTTCTGAGGATAACGGATGGTGGAGCCGGTGGAGGAGTTGCGAGAGGACCGCACGGGTTCGCCGCCCAAGTCACTATCGTTCCCCGTGCGACCAAGTCGTTTTCACACACACACACACACATACGCGAGGCACGTTACAGGCTTTGCACCTGGATTTTGCTCATCGCAGACTTAGGTTCTCGGCTTTTAGGGCCATCCCTGAACACGTGGGTGGCTTCGTCTGAGAACAGACAAAAGACCCCCACTCCCCTCACGCTTCTGTGCCGGGGGAAACCTCGGTCGTTGATTTCTGGACTCCCAGATCCCAATTTGCTTTTAGCGCCTTCCCACTTCAAACAACGATCGTCTGTTGCCGAATCCTGCTTTTGCTGTGCTTCTCTGGGAGGGTCTGAACCCAGCCTGCTTTGTCCGCCCCCCTACCTCATGTGTCTACCCGCTTCTCCCGACCTGCGTGCAGGGGCACTCCCAGTGCTCAACGAGGGCGGACGATCACGTAGAGGGAGGGGCGAGTCGGGGCACAGAGAGATCAGGACCTCCTGGGCTCGGGCGCCTACGCGAAGGCGCGCCCCGCCCACCCCCCCGTGCGCGCGCGCGCGTTGCGGAGGCCTCCTCCTCCTTTCGGGGGCACCGACTGGGGAGGGGCATCGGCATACGGCCGGACCGAGGTATAAAGATGGAGGTTGCTTCGGAGACGGGTGCTTTGGTGCCGAGTGTGCTTCGAGCTTGTCGGATGTTTTTCTGCATGCTGGGGAGGGTGCCCTTGGTTGTCCTGTGTGTTCTGGAAGGCGGAGTGTCTCGTGTTCTCGAGTGATGTTCTTCTGGCCCAGGTCCGAGTATGGAGGGGCGATACACCCCGTGCAAAAAGCAGCTGGTGTTCTTCTGCACACCCACCCCCCAACTTCAACGTTTAAGGCGGTGCCGGTCTGTCTTTTCGAGCTTCGCCGGTGGCACGACCAATATGGAAATGGGGGGGCCGGGGATCAGAGGAGGAAAAGGCACCGATACCGCTACCCCTGCCTCGTTTTCGCATGTCTGGGCCTCCCGGAAGGCCCTCGTCGCCACCGCTGGATGGGCCTCGAAATCTTGGTCAGATCCGAACGCACCCCGCGAGAGGTCCAGGGAGTAGCGGTAAGGGTACCTTTTGGCTTCCGCAGGGGAGCTCACCAAACACCAGTTGCTGGTCGTACGGGGTTGTAGGCATATGGGGGACGCACCGACCTCGAGTGGTTGACACATCGACGGTGCATCGCTGATCTCAGGGCCATGCGTCGACGAGGCGCAGGGCATTTCATGGGGCGGCCTGCATCGGCGATGCATCGACAATGCAATGGGCGATGCATTGGCCATTCTCGGGCTGGACGAAAGGGGGGGATTGGGAAAGGGGGGGTTACGAAATCTGCTGCATGCAGCTGGTTTCGGCCCCATCGAGGGTCCCATTCCTCGATACATGGCCGCCTCTGGCGCCGGGCGGCGCCGGGAAAATCAGCCACGTGAGCTGATTCTTAAACCCCCCCTTTGCTATCCCCCCCCTTTGCTTCCTGCATTCCTGTGGCAGTGTGGCCCTCGGAAGGGTTTTGTGTTAAGTCGGGCCTGCCCCCCTACAGGGGGATTTGCGACGGCAAATAAAAAATACCCCAAAAATAGTCAAACAATACTCCAAACATAGACTGGGTACTATTTTTGGAGTCTTTCTTGACCTTCTTGGGGCATTTTTGGGGAATTTCTTATGTTTCCTCGAAATCCCCCTGTCGGGGACACGCCCAGCAAAAGTCTTGTGTCCTCTCGCGTGTCCTGTGCAATCGAGACCGACTGTGTCCCCCTCCCTGTCGGTGCCCCTCATCCTCGGGCGGCTTCATCGCGGCCCCACTGCGCGGCTGGGCCGCCTCGAGGAGGTGGGGGGCGGAGGAGGAGGAGGAGGAGGAGGAGGAAGAGGATGAGGAGGGAGATGAGGAGGAGAAGCAGGAGGAGGAGGAGGAACAGGAGGAGGAGGAGGAGGAAGAGGAGGGAGAGGAGGAGGAGAAGCATCAGGAGGATGAGGAGGAGGAACAAGCGGAGGAGGAGGGGGAGGAGGAGCAGGAGGAGGAGGGGGGGTGGCGACGCTGCTGTTTGCCATCGCCGCCGAGGTTCAAGAGGGAACATTAGGCACAGACGCACACACAAACAGACACAAACACACACACACACACACACACACTCACACGCGCACGCGCACGCGCACACGCAGACGCACACACACACACATTCACACACACATTCACACACGCACACACACATTTACACACATTCACACACACATTCACACACACATTCACGAACACATTCACACACACACACACATTCACAACATTCACACACGCACACACGCACACACACACACACACGCACACACGCACACACGCACACACGCACACACGCGCACACGCGCACACGCACACACGCACACACGCACACACGCACACACGCACACACGCACACACACACACACACGCACACACGCACACGCACACGCACACGCACACGCACACACACGCACACACGCACACACGCACACACGCACACACGCACACGCACACACGCACACGCACACACACACACTCACACACACACACACACACACACACACACACACACACACACACGCGCGCGCCCACACGCACACGCACACGCACACGCACACGCACACGCACACGCACACGCACACGCACACGCGCACGCGCACGCGCACGCGCACGCGCACGCGCACGCACACGCACACGCGCACGCGCACGCGCACGCGCACGCGCACGCGCACGCGCGCACGCACACACGCACGCAACACACGCTCGCAACACACACACACACAAACGCAGTTTCCCCCGAAACCGTTGTAAACACATCGGCGATGGAGGTGAAGTCGGCAATCCAGCACACATGGAAACACCCCTGGGCCCTGTTGGAGGCTTCATCGCGGGAGGAGGCGAGCGCTTCGCTCGTGGGCGTGACGAGCTCGCGAGCTCCCCTGGCGGGGCTTGCCGTCCCCGCGCCCCTCGGCTTCCTCGAGGGGAGCGCCGCTGTCGGTCGTCGTCGGCGCGGCGGCCGCCGCCGTAGGAGGAGGAGGAGCGCGGCGCAGACTGAGCGGCCGTCGGAGGACGCCCTTGTCTCCGCATGGTCTGTCGCCGCACCGTCTTGGGACCCCTCAGGGGCGGGCGCCGCTGCCAGCCGTCACCGCCGCCGAGGCCGTCGGAGGGGCGCAGGAGCGCCGCGGAGCAGAGCGAGAGGTCGTCGCCGGAGGAGGGGGGGGCGTCGCTGTCTCGGCGCCATCGGTTTCGAGGTCGCCCCGTGATGAGGAGGACCGCGGAACGGAGGGGGAGGAGGACCTCCCCATCCTCCCCTCTTCCCCCGTCCTACCTACGGTGGTGGTGGTGGTGGAACTTGGCCCATCAGGGGCTGCGAGCCTACGCCCACCACCGAAACGCCCTGCTCAGATGGGAGAAGGGAGAGGTGGATTAAAGGGCCTCCGACGGCCACTCGCTCAGTTCCGAGTTCCTCTTCCTCTTCCTCCCTCCTCTTCCTCCTCCTCTTCCTCCGTAGCCATTTTGGTTCAAGATTTTGTTTTGAGCGGGCTGAGCCCGCATTGGCAATGGCGGATGCCGCTATTCCGCGGCAGAGCCAGGGTGTTTGCGCCCGAGATCGATTCACTTGGTCCGCCCCAGGTTGGAACCCATCCTCCAGCGAGGTGGGTCGGCGAGCTCTGTTGAGCATTCCCATGGGCGGGAACCATTGTTTCAGGTCAAGAGTAATGTGCGGGGCTTCGCCTGGTGCCAGAGCTGCCAGAACTGGGCTTGGAACTGGCGCCTCGAGCGCCAGGGCCGCAAGTGCGGCGTCTGCGGCGAGACCTGCTTCGTCCCCGACCCGAGCTGGAACGCCTGGAACGCGGCAGCGGCGGCAACCAGAAGAGTGGCAAGCGCGGCGGTCAAGGAGGCGGGCAGCATGGCGATTCATCCCGAGACCTTTTTTCAGAAGTACCTGGCCGCCGCTGGTTTCTCCAACGACCCCACGGCGTTCGGCCTGGTCGACATGGCGCAGGCCCAGGCGCTTGCAATCGCGGCCACGGCCCCGCCGAAGTGCCCCTACGTGCTCCAGGGGGGGGTTGCTGCCAAGCGCGCCCAGAAGCAGAACGCCCTCAGCCAGGCCACGGAGAAGCTGGCCCCGGCGGGGAAGCGCCTCCAGGAGGCGCAGATGCGCCAGCTGTCCGCGGCGGCGGCGCTCTACGATACGGACCAGGAGCGCATCCTCGCCCAGGAGGCCGTCAACGCCAAGGAGGCGCCGTTCCCGCCTGCCGCTGAGCCTTTCGGCGTCGGCGCCGACCTTTTCCAGCGCATCGACGAGTTTGAGGAGGAGGGGCAGGTGCAGCTGCGCGAGTTCCAGTCGCAGCTCGCAGCAGCCAGAGAGGAGGCCAGGCGTCGTGAGAAGCAGTTCCAAGACATCCGCACGCAGGCTCGCAAGGCCCTGTCGGCGTCCAAGAAGAAGCGCAAGTGCCCTGAGGGCGAGGCCCAGGGGGTCGATGAGGAGGCCCCGCCAGGCCACGCCGAAAGCAGCGCCCAGTCGTCTGCAGGCGCGCCGCCACCCGCCATGGGAGCAGGCGAGGGCCCCAACGTTGAGCTCTCCGCCGAGGCCAAGGAGATGCGGTCGGCGGCCGCCGCCCACCTTGCCGAGGGCGCCCGCGCGGCCAAGGCCAGGGCGGCGGCCGCGGGCTCGGCCGCTCCCCAGCCTGCTCCAGCGGCTGCTGCTGCTGGCCCTCCTTGTCTTTAATCAGGCGAGCGGCGGCGCCCTGCCGCCCGCCGCGTCGGCGCCACCGACGCCGCCGAGTACCTCTACGAGCATTTTCTTCGCTAACATCACCGAGCGGGGCCCGACGGCCCAGCGGTGCATCGCGGAACGCCACTTCAAGACCACGGTCGCCGGCCTGGTCGAGACCCGCAAAGGCGCTTCAAAGTTGGACAGGGTCGAGGTGGACTTGCACAGGGACGGGTGGCTGCTCCGTGCCACCGCAGCGCGGCCCTCGGGGCGCTCTGAAGCTGGATTGTCAGGGGGCGAGTGGATGCTCTCCCGACCCCATGTTGGCACCACGTCCTTCCCGAGGATGCGCGACGCGATGAGATCGGGGGGGCGGGTGGACCCATGCAAGGGTTTTGCACCGCTCACTCTGCAAATGAAGCTTGGCAACGTTGTTGTCATTGCAGGTCATCTACAGCCTGGGCTACTGTTCCGAGGCATTCGCAATGACATCATGGTCGCCCTGGCGGCCTTCACCCGCGCCCTCGTGGACCCTTGGTTGATCATGGCTGATTTGAACGTCGAGCCAGAGGGATTCCGCGAGAGTGGATGGTTGCGCCAACTCGGAGGGCGCTTCGCCTTGCCAGACTACAAGGTCACATGCGACAAGGGCAAGGGCAGGATGTACGATTATGTTGCAGCGTCCATTGACTGCCCCATCATTGAAGGTCTCAGCTGAGCTGGCTGCACCTTGGAGAAAAAACACTGCACGCTTCTCATTGAAGCGGGGGGGGCCCGCCAAGAA